TGACCTCAAAAATGTTAAATTATGGGTTTTTCTAGCACACACTCATGTAGCTTAATTTTCTTTGCTCTCATTCGCTATGTTTTGACAAATCACTCTTTTGCTTCATTTGAAATGAGAGATTAAAATGTCACACCTTTCATGTAAGCAGCTGAAAGCATGTGAAGTGGAATATTAATATTTTCCCCCATCGATCAAAGACATTTGTAAACATTCCAACTGTATCTACACTTTTCAATCACAAGCCAGCACTTTTTACAATTTTATTTTTCATATAAAAATCTCTTTCTTCTTCTCATTCATTCATTTATTCATTCATTCATTCATTCATTCATTCATTCATTCATTGTCTTGTCGGCTTAGTCCCCTTATTAATCTGGGGTCACAGCGGAATGAACCGCCAACTTATCCAGCTAGTTTTTAACGCAGCGGATGCCCTTCCAGCCGCAACCCATCTCTGGGAAACATCCACACATACACACACACACACACTCATACATACACTATGGACAATTTAGCCTACCCAATTGACTTGTACCGCAAGTCTTTGGACTGTAGGGGAAACCGGAGCACCCGGAGGGAACCCACCTGAACGCAGGGAGAACATGCAAACTCCACACAGAAACACCAACTGAGCCGAGGATCGAACCAGCGACCTTCTTGCTGTGAGGCGAACTACCCACTGCGCCACTGCGTCGGCTTTCTTCTTCTCTTTCTTTATTATTGATTTCTTTCAAATCAATAATAAAGATTAAATACGATGAATTTGTTCATTGTATCTGTAAATCTGTAGTTTTATTTAATGATAAATCTGTATGATAGACAAAGTTGTAAACTTTACATTATGCCTTATTAGACAATTAAAGGAGGATATTTCACATTCTTGAGAAAGAGAACTATTCACATGAGCTCATATTTTTTTTTCCTGCGGATGTGATAGAGTGTTTGATTGCCTCATATCATGGCTTTCACTTCCTTTTTTCAAGAAAAAAAATTATGTAAATCGTGAAAGCATTGAATGCTATTTTCCAACATGTCTTATAATCTGTTGATTTTGTAGCCTATACACAGGGGGAATTATCAATATTGTACCCAATTAAAATTCTTTCAAATTAATGATTGATCTATACATATTTATTAAAAGGTTATATCTCAAAAGAAGGTAAATGAAAATGACTCCACTGAAAGTCTAAACATATTCATACACATGTATTAACATACTTCCATACCCGTTTCAGGAACATCTACAGTAATTAGGATTTCAGCTGCAAGTGGTAATTCAGTGTGGCAGGATTTAATACTAATTGGACTCATGAAAATGACTTAGCCTGTCAGGTTCTTGGTCATTTGTGACATTATTTTCTGCCTCATATCAAATTAGCGCAGAACAAGGTTGGAATACTTAAATGTTTTCCTCCCATCTGCAGTTGCTACAGTATATGACCCCAACTGTGATGTTACTGATGCTCTACATTCATTACCGCGCACATATGCATGCATACTTTTGTGTGTGTGTGTGTGTGTGTGTGTGTGTGTGTGTGTGTCTGTCTGTCTGTCTGTCTGTCTGTCTGTGCGACTGAGTGAGTAAGTAAGAGAGGAAAAAACAGGCTGAGTGTAGGCATGTGACTGCAGAGATACAGAAGAAACTGGCAACCCAGAGAGAGCCGCATCTGCCCACACTGTGCCCCGGCAGAGGTGAAGACGAAGGAACAATTCTTCACCCACTGCACAAACTATCAGCACATCAGAGAAACATTCTACCCCAAACTCAAGAGCCTTAACCCTGAATTCAGTTAGACAATACAACACAACTCCAATATCTACTAGGGAAAAAACTGATTGTATCCAACTAGTGGCACAATACATTAATGCCTGTGTAGCAGAGGCAAGCTAGTGAAGTGCTGTGCAGGTAAACCTCACTCCTCTGACCTCTAGTGACAGACGCTAGAGGTTATGTTCTTTAGCCTCCTTAGTACAGCAACAGACTCTCATGTGGAAAGATGCCGGTTCAATCCCAGCTGAGAGTGGATTGGGTGTTGTAGGACCAGTGGGGTTACAAAAAGAAAGAGACCAATAACAATATCAGTGATGCGCTTGCAAATAAACAAACACACATACACATACACACACAAACCTAAATTACTATAAATGAATCATATTGATTATTATTATTTGTTATAATAGTTTTATCCATAAATGTTGATTGTTAAATGTACAGTTTATTCTGATCTAGTATTTCAGGGGTGGCCAACCCTGTTCCAAGAGAGCTACCTTCCTGGATATTTCAGTTGCAACCCATATCAAACACACCTGCCTGTAATTATCATGTGGCGTTCAGCTCTTAATTAATTGGTTCAGGTGTGTTTGATATGGGTAGCAACTGAAATCTGCAGGAAGGTGGCTCTCCAGGATCAGGGTTGGCCACCCCAGTATTATTTTATAATTTTTTTATTTGCATTTTTATTATTGTTGTTGTTATTATACTACTATATATTGTAACACACGCACACACACACAGAGAGGCATCAGAAATGCAGCTCAAATGAAAAAGGTCTTATTTTGAGACTTTTTACGCAGTAATATGTCTATGCTGCCCACTAGTGGACATGTTGTAGATATTACATTAGACAGCATTAAATACAACAATATATAATTAAAAATGTAATGTGTGATATTTACTTTTTAATCATATTTTATTTTAGTCATTCTGGTTGAATAGTAAAGAGCAAATTGTTTTTAAAATGTGAAACTTGGCTATTTTTATTCTTTTTTTTTCTTTAGTTTAGAAAACTTCTGGAAATTCCCTTTTTAGTTCTATTGAAATGCAGAGTGTATGCCTTTCATGAAACTCCCAAAGAAATTCCTAAAGCTTAACAGACAGTTAAAAAATGTAAGCATGTTTAAGCAAGTCTTTATATTCACTTCTTCATGTTTAGTCTTTACATTTGTTTTTATTCTGTTATTTTAATGCTTTTAAACTTACTGGACGACAGATCAAACAAAATCCAAATCTAAAAATCCAAGAGCATTTGAAAGCTGCAAAATGCTTAAAACAAACAAGCAAAAAAAAAATGTGTTATAAGATGTTTATTAATTCCTTTAACAAGCCAGTAGAAAAAAATACCACCGTAAAGTGTGTAGTAAGTGAGATTTTTTATGAGTAAAACAGATGGCACAGAGACCTGACCTCAATAATATCAGGTCAGTATTTTGGGTTTAGATCACAGATGTCCAGTCCTGCTTCTGGAGGGCCAACATCCTGCATTTTAGCAACAAAGCCAGCACCCCTGCCAGAAGGTTTATTATAGCTGTGTCTAAAATCAAATATTCTCTATGGGTATTTATTTATTTATTTATTTATTTATAATAAATAGTTGGTTCAAACCCACTATAAAGTTCAATCCAAAATATAAATCTGTTTGTAGATCCAATCTGCATGTACTGTACCATAATTACCATTTTGTCGTTCTGACTTTTTTGATTCTGACATACATACTGCTTTTGTAAGCAATGATTTATTTTACGGTCCTGTTTTGCATTTATAAACTAGACTGCAAAAAATGTAATGCTGCTTAATCATTTAAATCATAAACATTGCTGTTAAAATTTTATTTAATAAAATGAATTTGTCTGTCAACTTACATTATTCAAACTGACTAAAATCTTTTGCTAAAACTTAATATATTATATAATATATGCATGACTAAAAAATTTTTTAAATCTGAATAACCGATTAAAATTTGAGTAGCATACAGTATGGTGTTATTACTTTGTCATATCAGTTTTTACAGTGTACTTATTCTTAAACCTACCCCTAACTGTAAACCATGCAGTTAGTTTACACAGTCCTTTCTCATTTACGGCAAAATTATTTTACAAAATAAAAAAACTGCTTTTATTTCGTCCATAATACAAGAACCAAAACTTTCTCCAAAACAAAAAAAATTATAGGAAATACTGTACAGAAATTTCTTTGCTCCGTTAAACTGCACTTAGGAAAGATTTGAAAGAGTATTGCAATTTCACAAGAGGGCTAATACATTTGCTTTATTAGGCAAGAACACGGTTCTTGTAATACATGAAATGTAAACTAAAGTGCAACTACTGTTTTCATATGGTAAGCAGGGAAGTATGTGATTACAGGTTTAGCTAATGAGTCCGAAGACCTCGATTAGCTGGTTCCGGTGCGTTTAATTAGGGCTAAAGCAAACATTTGAGAAAGTCTCCCTCCAGAAACAGGTTTAGAAAGTCTGGTTTTCTACGAACTGTGGGAACTCCTCAGATTTACATGGGAGAACCTATCTGCAAAATATACACTAAAGAAATATGTAAATAAATTTATGAAAACAAATGTTTTTGCCAAGTATTAAAGTGTATTTTGCTCAGCATTTTTGTCCTGTGTAAAATATCTAAACCTTCTCTTCCTTATTTGAATGTTTTGGGCCAAAAATGAAGTTTGCGTTTATAGTATGAAATTCTAAACAGTAACAGGATCCGAAAAACAATAAATTATTCATTAATTAAAGAGAAAACAAACATTTTATTTCTACCCCATTGTGAATTTTTATTTTTTAAATATTTTTTAGAAAACAAAAGACAAGACAACACAAAAAACTAAGTATAATAATAACAAATTTTTTTATATTTAATTATTTTCTCTCTTTTTTGAACTGTGAGGTGGTGAACTACCCATTGTATCGCAGCTCAGATGAAAAGAGGACATAAGGAAATGCATTCATAAGGTACTTAGTACTTCGTAGTACGTTTTAATGGGACATGATTTATGAATTTTCATCTCTCCATCAATTCACTTTCAGCCAGTTCATCACAGGGCTGCTTAAATTTTTATGACCTAAATAAAACAAAATCAACTGAACAAAACGACCTGCATTTGACTGAGAAACTGTGGTGTGCATTATACCAATATACTCACTGTGGGTGACAAAAGGAACCAAAAAAGTAACCGCAAAATAAGAAAGGAAGTGCTATCGCAACATGCAAGGGCAGGGACGACACTGAACAGCCGAGATAGCAGGAGTGAACATGAACTGAAGGCATGAAATATCACATGACTGAACAAGTCGGAGCTTTGTCCTCCTGTACTTAACAGAATTCAATTAAATTGTGATTATGAGTGTATGTGTGTGTGTTTGTGTGTGTGTCTGTTTAGAAGGAAACCAAGCATGAAAATGCGTGTGTGTGTGTGTGTGTTTGTGTAGTAGGCTACCATCAGAATGCACTTCCCTGGTCTAGAGGGCGTTGCATCACTTGACAGATATATAGTACGGAGATTTAATGTGCAAGACAGAGTTGGCAGACAGCGCTTAAAGAAAGACAAATTCCTGCCTTTGAGCAACCAACAGAACAGGTATGTGTGTATTTTTAAGACTACAATGCATATGCGTCAATACGAGGACCTAATGTCAGTAATGTTTACTATTCCCTGTCACGTTTTTAAATAATTGCACAGTCTAATTTTTAAAATATTTGCATCCAGTAGTGTAATATCTAATGTTTTAAAAACCACAAGAGCATTTAGCTTAACATTTGTTATTTGAATTGTACTGTAAATGACATTTAGACTAGCTCTCTTAAACATTCTGGACATCTTAGACCTCAGTTGTGTTTCGACAGTATTTGGTGTATGCAAAGTACCTATAAGGATGTCCCATCAAACTGGTTTTGCTTTAATAAACAGATCAGACTTAAGGAAAACAGACAAATACAAACATGCTCATCGCTTTAAGGCATTTTGTTAAGTGCAGTTTGAATGCTTTCATTTCTACTTCATTTTCATCTTGACTGATACTGTATGTAAATGACAAGCCATACTGTATCATGCAGATGCAGAGTGTATAGCTGTCCTGCAAGAAGAGTATTGTGCGAGTGTGTCACAGCAATAACCATAGTCTTGCAACAGCATTTGCTCTTTCACTGACTGACTAAGCAGGAACAGCAAAGTTTCCTGTCTCATGTACACAAATTGACACCTACTCACAAAAAAAAAAAGAAACCTTATCTTTGCGTCAGTGCTTATTATAGTTAAAGGTTATACTCAGTCAAAGATTAAAACAAACTGGTCTACATTCCTGACCATCTCAACAGGGAACATATAATGACTCTGCTTTTTTCATAGCATTCACAAAAACATATATATTTATACATTTTGCCATTTCTAATTAACTGAAGCACTATATCACTGTGTGTGCTAGTATGTATGGTGATAGTGACACACTTCCTTCTTCTGAATGAAGAGATTGAGGCCTTTCTTTTGTCTCAACACTTTAAATATATTTCATGTGCTGACACTGGTACTTGACACTTCCTATTATAGTCTACAGAGTTTCTTTTCAGGAAAACTTCTAACAAAACAAAAATATGTAAGTGTAATTAATTATATTAAAGGAATAGTTCTCACTCTTCACTTTTCAAAACTTTGAGCTTCTTCTTCTGTTGAACACAAAGGATGATATTTTGAAGAATGCTGATTGCTGGGATTATTTGCATTGTTTTGTGTTCAACAGAAATGGGAAACTCATAAAAGCTTAAAATATATGAGGTAGAATAAAATGGCAAATATTTTTTTTTTAAATGAACTATTTAAGTATTCAGAATCAGAATTAGAAAAAAATCTGAATCAGAAAGAGCTTTATTGCCAGGTACAGTATGTTTATACATACGATGAATTTGTTTTCGTGACAGAGCTTCTACAGTGCTCTGTACAGAATTATAGAGAGGACAAAAAAAAGATAATAAATAAATATATATATATATATATATATATATATATATATATATATAAATAGAAGAAAGTAGTGAATTCAATTATACAAATTGACAAGTGTATGTAGATGTTTATTACTAAATACAAAGTTATTTGTGCAGCTGTTATGTGCAATTGGCATGTGAGGTATGCTGTCAAATAAGTGTATGTAAAAAATGTTATAGCAAGTAGTGTTGTATGGTTAACAATTTCTATCATCAAGTGTTTATGAGATGGATTGCCTGAGAGAAGAAACTGTTTCTGTGTCGGGTTGTTCTGGTGCACAGTGCCAGTGCATAGTGTCGACCAGAAGGTAAATGTTCAAAGAGGCAGTGTGCTGGGTGTGAGGGGTCCAGAGTGATTTTGGCAGCCCTGCACTCGCTCTGGAGGAGTACAGTTCATGGACAGTAGGGCGGGTTGTACCAGTGATTCGCTCAGCAGCCCAAACTATTCTCAATGTCTTAGTAAAAAACAAAAACCTTTTTTTTCACCTTTGAACACAATATATTTTAACTTTGAGAAAAATAATAAACATATCTGGCTAAATAATTCAAATTAATCATCGACTTTTGCTGCCTTCATTATTTAAAAAATATTTTTTTTAAATAAACACCAAGATTTCTTTTCAATTTAAAACGACATCTTTGGATATCTTTTCTGCTGGAGATACTGTTGTCCTAAAAACAAAAAAAAATTTGCCCGTTTTTAAATCTTGACTGCATTGTCTCATGTCTATAAAATACATTTGAAAATATGTTCCTACATTAACAGATGCACTAAATTTTGTTCTGTACCATTAAAAGCAACATGAAAGCATTTCAGCCCCTTTTGTGCTGCTCTCTATTCCACAGATGCGATGGGAGTGGTTCAGGTATTCTGCTGTGGCATTTGTATCTATGCAAATTATTACTGTGGTTTAACTGCTCCGTTTAATGTGTTTGTTTTGCAGTTTCTCACGTAACTACATGCATGGCGGGTGAGTCTAGACAACTTCCTAAGACAACTCAATTTTTGTATTTTTGTTGCTTAACCTTTTCTGCTTAACTAACAGTTTAGCAGCATTTATTCAGTTCTAATATTTGTTTAAATATTTTTACTCAGTCATATTTGTTAGGGTTGTCAAATTGTCCCACAACAGTTTTATCAAGGTTGCACGTTGAGGTTAAATGTTTGACATATTGCATACATAGTGGATGAATGAAACATTTCAGGTATTGTTTAATCTACCAATTACAGAACTGGGCTAGATTATAAATTTTGCTCTGAAAGACAGCATCTGAACACCAGTGAGCTTATTTAAGAAAAGAGAATGTGTTTACTAGAAATAAATCATTTTAAGTCAAAATTGGGCAGCGCAGTGGGTAGAATGATCACCTCACAGCATGAAGGTCACTAGTTTAAGCCCCGGCTGAGTCAGTTGGCATTTCTGTGTGGAGTCTGCATGTTCTCCTCCAGGCGCCTGGGTTTCCCCCACAGTCCAAAGACATGTGCTAGAGGGGAATTGGGTAAGCTAAATTGTCTTTAGTTAATGTGTGTGAATAAGAGTGTATTCCCAGTGATGGGTTGCAGCTGGAAGGGCATTCACTGCATAAAACATATGCTGGATAAGTTGGCGGTTTATTCCACTGTGGCGACCCCTGATTAATAAAGGGACTAAGCCAAAAACAAAATAAATGAATAAATGTAGTCAAAATTTCACACATTATATAAATAAATTAGATTGGAAAGGGATTAGCATGTTTAGAGTTTTGATATTTAGGTTAGGGCCACTGGGTTAGTTTTGGGCTTTTTTGGATATTTTTACTTGCCAATATTCTAGTTTTGTTACTCAGACCTGACAAAAGGAAATTAAAAGGATAGTTCACCCAAAAACTTATTTCCCTATTTTTTTCACCCTTAAGTGATTCTAAATGGAAGCCAGTGTCTGCTGCATTCCAACTTTCTTCAGAATATCTTCTTTTATGTAACAAAACAAAAAGAAAGTTAAACAGTTTTGGATAGTGGAAAGTGAGCAAATGAAGACATATCAAAATTTTATATGAACTATCCTTTTAAGTCTGATCAAATTTATTATTTATACAATAAATAACTTGTGTCTATATATTTGTTTCAGCACACTGTAAATCTCTGTGCTCCTCTCTGCAGGCACCAGTTTTGAGGCCGAGTTCCTACAGGTGCACAATGCCTACCGCAAACAGCACGGAGCTCCGCCCCTCACCTTTAACAAAAACCTGTGCCGCTCCGCACAGCAGTGGGCGGAGCATCTGCTTTCAACCAAAACACTCGCACACAGCAACAAGGGCTACGGAGAAAATTTGTATTATGCTTGGAGTTCAGCTAACAAAAAACTCACAGGTCAGTTTACTACTTGCAATTAGATGGTCCATTCCAAACGGAAATATCAGCATGAAAAATAATGACCTCACTGCAAACCAAAATGCTCAAAACTGGACACTCCAAAGGGCCCTTAAGGAATCAAAAATTTTGAAAAATACAACTGAAGTTGTTAGTGTCACACACTACACTCAATTCAGAAGGGCTCTACCTATGCCATAATCCTGTGTTTCTCAACCATGTTCCAGGAGGACTACCAGCCCTGCACATATTCCATGTCTCCTTAACCAAATACACCTGATTCTGAACATCAGCTGACCTTTAATGGGTGTGACAGACAAAAGAGACATCCAAAACATGCAATCTAGGTGGTCTTTCAGGAACAAAGTTGAGAAATATCTCCCTGATCTCTTCAGAGGGACCCTTTGAAAGGATTAGGGTATAGGGATGAGCCCTTCCAAATTGAACCCTCCCACAATGTTTATTCCTTATCACTCATAATGACCGTCATATCATGAGCACTCAAAATCTGAGTTTGGGTCCAATTTGAATCCGTTTGTGTCTCCCTTTACAGGACAATAATCATAGAGCTGTATAAATAGATGCCACATTTGACTACAGATACACAGAAATGTTTGCCATCATGGTATGGTTAACAAGTTGTGTCGACTTGTTATTTACCACAAAAATGGTATAAAGTCATATCAAGCCACACCTTCCCACTGTATTATTCGTTTGTCCCTTATATAGTGCATCATGTAACGTTACCATTGTCCATATTAAGAACAGTGATATCAAGTGACCAATTTCAGCCACAGCTTTTCTCTCTTCATATTGTAGAGTGAGGGACACTTCAGATTATAGAGAACGGTAAATGGCACAAGTTGAAATGCAGGGTGATGTTATCAAAATAATTTATCCATCCAAGTTTTGAATGCACACATCTTCTAAATGTATTATATCAATAACCATATAAGACTCAAATGCTCATATTAAAAGCTATAACTAAACTTTAGGTTTGATTCCTTGGCTAGACCTACAGTACAATACAATGGAGCAGACAAAGAAACATACAAGATTTTATAATCTATTGGATTGGTTTGTGTGAACAGGCCATGTGATTTCTTATGTACTACAAATAAAAATAAGCAAATGATATAAAGCATCTGTGTTGTTTTATATGTGGAAACAGTAGGTTACATACCTTTCCCTAACTTTTTAAAGGAAATGAGGCAGTGGACAGCTGGTACGGTGAAATTAAAGACTACAACTTCAGTAGGCCAGGATTTAGCTCCAAAACAGGTGAATGTACAAGCAGCCAACACATTCTGTGGTGGTTAAACGTTTAGTTTGTACGGGTCTCCTTTGCAACACTGACTCCTAGTGGTTTCTCCAGGTCACTTCACACAGGTGGTGTGGAAGGACACAAAAGAGTTGGGAGTTGGACTGGCCACTGATGGGAACACAATTTTTGTCGTGGGTCAGTACCTTCCCGCTGGAAACATCGCAAATGCAGGTTATTTTGAAAAAAATGTCCTGCCGACTGGCTCTAAACTAGATCAAAAGCCCACTGGTGCAAGTGAGTACACTTTCTAGTGAATTACTTCACGTTATTTTAAATCTATATTTTCCTTTATAGACCATTTCAATGTGGTGATGTCATTGGCCCATGAGCGTTTCCATCTTGTTATCAAACTATTTGAGAACTGTAACAAGAGGCAATTCAATCCTAACTCAACATTAAAACAGCTATCAGAACATTATTTATCAATATGTGAAGCTTCTTGGATTCTCTCAAGTTATAGAAATACGTAAAAAGTTATAGTTTTTAAACAGGAAACGCATTGGGACATTTTTTTTTTTTTACATCCCTCAAAATGGTTTATTTATACTCATTAATAATATTAATTCGATCATAATTACCCTAATAACTTTAATAAATTATTTTTATGAAATAAGTAAAAACAATGATAAATCATAGTTTAAATGTTATATTTGAATTGTGAATATTTTAAAAGACAGAGGTGTTGATGAAAAGCTGTTAACTATAGTAAATGTTTGATATATCTGGCAACATTCAGCTCACAAAGGGGAACAAGCTCATGGTTCATCAGGCATTCATTCAAACAAAGTGCCCTCAGTGCCTCACATTGCTGAAAAACCAACACCAGAGGGCAAAGGTAAATTCTTTTTATATATCCTTGTTCTTTGCACAAAGGCAAACATGCTTAACATTGTCTTTGACGTTTTTAAATCTCAGCATGTGCACCTTTGTTGTATTTTTCATTGCAATAAAAAATCCTTTATATTCATTTGTAGCAGACAGCAGTTTTGAGGCAGAGTTCTTGCAGACCCACAATGCATATCGCAAACATCATGGAGCTCCACCCCTTACCATAAACATAAACCTGAGCCGCTCTGCACAAAAGTGGGCAGAGCATTTGCTGTCAACCAGGACCCTCATGCACAGCAACGGAGACTATGGAGAAAATGTGTATTACGCTTACAGCTCGGCTAACAAAAAACTCACAGGTCAGAGTTTAGTGACAGCTCGACAACATCGAAAACATTTACTAATGTTTCATTTGCACACCTCTCTGTCAGCCCTCTTAGAAGTCTTTTGCATAATATAGAGCATGTAGTTTTTTTTTTAATGAGCATTATGTCATTGATTTAGTTTGCTTTTTAGTTTTTAGTTTGCAATTATTATTGATTATTATTTGATTTAGTTTGTGTCATGATTTAGTTTGCATGTTTTTACCATCACAGTTTGTTAATTCATACAGGACGTGAGGCAGTGGAAAGCTGGTACAATGAAATTAAAGAGTACAACTTCAGCAGGCCTGGATTCACCTCTAAAACAGGTGAATGTTTGTGTAAACGCTCTGGGTTGGGGTCAGTTCTGGTCTCTTTACTCACATTTGGTTCTTCCCCAGGTCACTTCACACAGGTGGTGTGGAAGGACTCAAAAGAGTTGGGAGTTGGACTAGCCACTGATGGAAGCACAAGTTTTGTGGTGGGACAGTACCTTCCAGGAGGTAACATCACAAATGCAGGTTATTTTGAGAGAAATGTCCTACCGGGGGGCTCCAAAGTAGACCTCAAAGCCACCCCAACTGGTGAGTCTACAGGTGCTTTCAATGTAAAATTGTATAAAGTTTATTGTAGAATGAACTTGTGACAAAGTGTTTATAATTTTTTTTTTATCCAGGCAGTCTATGTGTCATGGTCACCAGCGATCCAGCTTGTGCAGATCGCTGAAAAACTACAGAGGGGGCAATAGACATGCATAAATCTTCCGTGGAGAGAAACCTCGAAATAAAACTCGAGCTGTCTAGGCTGGTGAACAGGGGACAGGAGTACCAGCATAATAGTGTTACTTGGTTGGGCAGTAAGCCCCGTCGCCAGTGGGTCTTGCTGTCTATCTGCACAGGCTGGATTGCTGGTGACCGTGACACTATGATACTTGATGCTTGAATGATATTCCCAATAATTTTAAGCCTATTTAATTTTGGTGTTCAGTGGACAAAGTTGGACAAGCTCTTGGTGCCCTTAGCATTACGTCCAACCTGTTGCCTTCATCATCTCACAGTGTTGGACCAGCACCACCGAAGACTCATTCTTCACAGAGCAGCCACTCAGAGAGTAAGCACTCAGATAAGTACTCAAATGTATATACAATAGGTCTGGAAAGTATTCATAGCCTCTTAAATTTTTAGACTTAAAGATCATTTAGATATTTTTTTTCCTCATTAATGTACACACAGCACCCCATATTGACAGAAAAAAACATAGAAATGTTGACATTTATTAGATTTATTAAAAAAAGAAAAACTGAAATATCACTTGGTCCTAAGTATACAGACACTCATATATTTATCTCAGCTGCTGTCCATTTCTTCTGATCATCCTTGAGATCCTTCTACACCTTCAAAGAGTGAAACATTTAAGTGGTCTGAATACTTTCTGTACCAACTGGAGCAGTAATCTAACTAATATAAACAGTTAACTATAAATGTAATGACTATACACTTCATTTAATACAGAGCAATGTTGTGCAGGATAATGTGTAAAAGAGGTATTTAAGGTTAAATAAGCAAGTAGTGCAAAATGATAGGTGGTACATTCACAAGTAAACTTTTTATTGAGTCCATGCTGAGTCATTTTAGTTTAAAGGTACAGTAGGTGATTGTCTTCAGAAACATTTTTGTTGTGCTGGTTGAAAGTCTCTTCTCATTCCAATAGAAATGATTACAGTAAATGATCTAAATGTATTTATATGCATTTTTATATTTTGGGTTAGGCATAAACCTAAAAAATGTTCATCCAATTAAATGTCGGGCCGACATCTCTCATAATTCCGATAAGTAGCTCAAACTGTCTGTCAGCAAATGCAGATTTGAACAACTGCGCAGCCGTTTGTACGCAGCTCCGCTGACCGCTGTTTGTGCATAGATGTGCTGCGCGTTCACGAGAGAGAGAAGCTGTTAGCATTGTGGAAGATCACCTACTGCATCTTTGAGAAAAAAGTTTGGTGCACATAGAGAAAAGAGTTTTTCCACAGGTGGTTTGTTCAACCCACTCACCTGTGTGAAGCCCACTCAGAAATTCGTGAATGAGGCTTCCAAATTGCGAACATATCCTTACATACACTAGTTTTAATTAGAAATTAATTTGTAATTCATAATTAGTTTGACATGCTCCCTCTAAGATTGGCTTTAAAATATAAAGACATCAGTTAAACTCATTGCTTTCATTTCACAGCACCATATGATGTCTAAAAGAGTGCATTAAAAAGATCACAACTATAGTTACCGCTCATAAATCTTTCTAATGTAACTGTTCTTTTTTTTCTCGTGATGAAGGTGAGAGCTTGTTCCAGTTTCGTCAGTCTCTCCTTAAAGCTGTAAATGATTACAGACGACAACATGGGGCAAAACCTCTCTCTCTGTGCCCTGTCCTCAGTAAAGAGGCTCAGGATTGGGCAGCACATTTAGCCAGCATTGGTGCCCTACAGAACAGCAGAAAAGGTTACGGAGAGACTTTGTCTTACAAATGGACATCCAGTATGGTTCCTCCAACAGGTAAAATGGTTATTCTGCAGATGGGTCTAAAGCACACAGTATAATTAAAATGTTTGTAGAAACACTGATCAACATTTAACCGTAGGAAAAGAGGTTGCTGAAAACTGGTACAAGGATAATGGGAAGTACAACTTTGCCATTCCTGGATTTCAGAAAGGAACTGGTTGGTCATTAATTTTTATTCACTCATATCAGTTTATCAGCCAGGGCAGGGGTCAGCAACCCGCAGCTCTAGAGCCGCATGCGGCTCTTTAGCGCTGCCCTTGTGGCTCCCTGGAGCTTTTTCAAAAATGTTTGAAAATGCAAAAAGATGGGGGAGGTTAATATATTTTTTTGTTTTAATATGATTTCTTTAGGAGGACAAACATTTTTAACGTTTCCAAATGCTGTCAAAGTGTGTAGAATTAATATTTAATTTCAACATTTCTGTCAACGAAGATTTGCGTCATAGCCTGCGACACACGTTTCTATCAGCAGGGTGGGATGCCAGGCAGGTGGCTGTTGTAAACAAACCAGGAGATAATAAAGCATGGAAAAGCGTTTAAAGATGGTATGACATATTAGAACACCTATTTGCAAACTTTAAAAACAAAACCAAGATAATACAAAAAAATAAAGATATACCTTTCTCCACTAAGACAGTGAAGGAAAGGGCTATTAAAATAGGTAACATCACCGATCAGCAAACCAAGGACATTAATTCAGTGCCAGCATACTTAATTGCCTGTGATGTGAGCGATAATTAAACGCGTTTTTTTGCAGGTATGTGAACTCTGATGGGCCGCAAGAAGAAATGATCAAATTAATAACACTAAAAGACAAGAGGCTGTGCTGAAGTGTTTTAATGACAACAAAATAAACACCAACTACCTGATTTCAGTGGCTATTTAATCATGAAGGCTCATTATGTATTTGTAGCCAATTTAGTCATTTTTATAGTAGGCTAATATAGCTAATATAGATACATACAGCATGTGTTTCCTTCATTATAAGGCTTATATAAGGCTTTACATTTTTTGTGGCTCCAGACATATTTGTTTTTTGTTATTTTGGTCCAATATGGCTCGTTCAACATTTTGGGTTGCCGACCCCTGAGCTAGGGTGATGATGATCGTGTAAAACTGTACTGTGATTAGGTGTATAGGAAATTTTGATGTTAACTTTGCATCAAGTTTAAATCACAAAATAACTTTTATATGTGTACAGGTAACTTTACCCAGATGATCTGGAGGTCTTCAGAGCAAGTTGGTGTTGGTTTGGGATCAGATGGAAAGGGCATGTTCATTACTGTGGCCTTCTACAACCCTTCTGGAAACATCACCAACCCTGGCTTCTTCCAGGATAATGTCAGACCTTCTGGGAGGTGACCTGCTGAATAAGAAAGATTAAGAAAATCTTGCATCTTGTTTTACTTGCTGGTGTATACATTTTTTAAAGGCATTTATCTCAGGTTTAGTGTTTGCATAGTTACTGCACTTTGCCTTTGTAGGGGAGAATATGGCAATATATTCATACAGTATGTTTGTCATCTAAATATATATCATAAACATGTCATCTAAATATATATCATAAACATAAACATCAGTTCACAAATTTTAGCTGCACCGTTGAATGTAAATGCTTTTTTAAAGGTTCTGGTGTAGATAAATGAATATTATTTGCTTAGGTGGTTTTCTTTCCTTTACCGTAATAAGCAATCACATGCACCTGCTATTGATTTGCATGAGTGGTTTTATTGAGAAGTGACTTAAAATGTATAGAAAGATGAGGTGATAAATCATAATGAAACATTAAAATGGATTTTGCATATTATATATGTTTAAATATGTTGCTTTAATAAAAATGTTTGTAAAATTCAAGTAATTTCTGCAGTTCGACAGATATTAAACTCTGAAACTTTTCACTAAACAGTGCTAATAGAGACTAGAAGCAAAAGGGAAGATAAATTATATTTTAAAGCATCTGTGTTACTGTACAACAAACCTGAAAATAGGAATCAAGGGAGAAAAACAAGATTTTTAAAGCATTTCCCTAAATTATCATGAAATATATTGTAAATTCAATCTGTAAAGCAGTATGAAAATGAAGAATGGATAAATGCACAGAACATCTTGTCAGTACAAAAAAACTTTGCGATGTATTGCTGCTGAAAGTTATTTGACCTCTTTCCTACACAGAGAGACTTGTACTTTGACTTCTCATTTAATAATTTTTATCCTGTAAAGACTGTATATTCTGTCTTCCTTCCCAAAACCTCACATAAAACATTGTACATTTTATTTTAATCTGTTTGATTTATTAGCTGTTTTCCTAAAAAACAAACAAACCTATATGTGATGAATACAAAGTATCCCCTGCCACACACATGCACACAGACCCTCATAGATTGCATTCTTATACGCAAATGTTCATCAACATATGCATCTAGATGTGCACATCTATCTTGCACAGCACCAGAGAGCTTGGGTGGGAATGCGAAATTGAATTGACAAGGTGTCATGTTGCATCAGCCTTTCATCACATTGTGTTGCTGGAGACACATGAGATGCTCTGATCTTCATTTATACATGCCCTCTTTCACGAAATACACAGGCTGAATAAAACAAAGGTCAAACACTTGATCAGCTAAAATCCACAGACCTTTACTGTGGTGGGGGTCTAGTTTCACATTGGACAAAAAGGAAAAACCTTATTAAAATGTAAATATTACTTTATCAATAATAGTCTTTAGAATAAAACATTTCAAACAAAACACATGAATGCTGCATTATAAAACAGGAATATGCACAATATTGACCAGCATTCAAGGTTTTTTTACACTTATGCATTTTTTAATACAATTCTACTTGAATGTGTTGTGTTTTGTCTGGTTAAACTGAAAAATAAAATTATTTTATGTAGTTTAAAATTATTACTATTGCTTCTATCAAAAGTACTTTAGTCATAGACAAGGCATCCCATTTTGTTGTCTTTAATGTTTCTCTGCTGTGTTTCATAATAAATATTTCTGTGTCAAGAGTTCCAAGTATATTGTACTGTCAACTTTTGTATGGTAATGCTAGTCATAATTTCAACACCAGGCATGCATTAAAAGGAAATTTTTTGCCTCCCATTTCAAAAACTGATGCAAAGCAACGGACTGTAATGTATAGAGGAATGAAAACAAGGAATGAATTGCCATCAGACATTACATGCTTTGTAACAAATAAAATGAGGTTTAAAAATCGTTTAAGAAATATTTAATGGAACAATAATAAGTGGATTGTTGAGTGTTGATTTGGATGTTATGTATGAATTTTGTATTTTAAAGTTTTTATTGGTCTTTGTTGTTATGTATTAATGTAATTTTGTGTTGTGTTCAATGAACCCCAGGAAGAATAGTCCCTACCTTGGTAGTGGATCCTGATAGATAAATAAATAAATAAATAAATAAATAAATAAATAAATAACTAAATAAATAAATAAAATCACATTACATTTACAACAGTGATCTTATAGGAAGCATAAGAATTCTTCATTCATTCATTTTCTTTTCGGTTTAGACCCTTTATTAATCTGGGTATTAATCAAAATAATTTTCTGATGCACTATATATATATATATATATATATATATATATATATATATATATATATGTGTGTGTGTGTGTGTGTGTGTGTGTGTGTGTGTGTGTCCCAATATTTGTGAATATATATATAGTTACTGTAGATTCACAAATATTGGGACATAGACAAAATTCTAACATTTTGGCTTTATACACCAATACAATGGATTTGAAATGAAACAAACAAGATGTCCTTTCAAGATGAGATCCAAATAGCTGTAACTATCAGTCAAGAAAGCCGGACAAGGCTAAAAATACTAAACAAACCCATCATAGCAAGAAACATTAGGTGTGGCCAAAACAACAGTTTGGAACATTCTTAAAAAGAAGGAACACACCAATGAGCTCAGCAATATCAAAAGACCCGGAAGACCATGGAAAACAACTGTGGTGGATGACCAAAGAGTTCTTTCACTGGTGAAGACAACAGTTGGCCAGATCAACACTCCAGGAGGTACAGTATGTGTATGTGTGTCAGTCAACAATCAAGAGAAGACTAAACCAGTGTTGATACAGAGTTCACCACAACATGTAAACCATTGGTGAGCCTTAAAAACAGGACAGCCAGATTAGAGTTCTAGAAAAGCCTTCACAGTGCTGGAACAACATCCTATGGACAGATGAGATCAAGATCAACTTATACCAGAGTGATGGGAACAGAAGAGTATGGAGAAGGAAAGTAACTGCTGATGATCCTAAGCAGTGAAGCATGGTGGTAGTAGTGCCATTGCGTGGGCATGTATGGCTGCCAATGAAACTGGTTCTCTGGTATTTATTGATTATGTGACTGCTGACAAAAGCAGCAGGACCAATTTTGAAGTGTTTCAGGCAATGTTTTCTGCTCATATTAAGCCAAGTACTTCAGAACTCATTGGACAGCACTTCACAGTGCAGATGGAGAATGACCTAAAGCATACTGCAAAAGCAACCAAAGAGCTTTTGAAGGCAAAGAAGTGGAATGGTATGCAATGGCCAAGTCAATCACCTGACCTGAATTCGATTGAGCTTGCATTTCACTTGCTGTAGACCAAACTGAAGGGAAAATGCTCCAAGAAAAAGCAGGATCTGAAGACAGTTGTTATCAGAGGTCTGGCAGAGCACCACCAGGAGTGAAACCCAGTGTCTGCTGAGGTCTATGCATTCCAGACTTCAGGCTGTAATTGACTGCAAAAGATTTGCAACCAAGTGTTAAAAAGTGAAAGTTTGATTTATGAATATTGTTATGTCCTATTACTTTTGGTCCTTTAACAAGTGGGAGGCACATATGCAATTCCTCCGTAATGTTGTTATTCCTTCACGATTCACCTGATTTGGATGTCAATATACCCATAGACAGTCTGCAGTTTAAGCACATCTTGTTCGTTTAATTTCAAATACATTATGTTGGTGTATAGAGCCAAAAATGTTAGAATTGTGTCACTGTCCCAATATTTGTGGACCTAACTCTATATATATTCAATATTAATTTCATAATTATTTTATTTATTTATTTTATACTTTCTTTTATTTTTTATTTTATGATTATTTTTATTTATTTATTTTTCAAAGAAAGAAAATAGACTTTCTACTGGGGAAAAAAAAATTGTTTTGTCTTTGGCCCACACACTGGATACTAGACAGAAAAAAAGTGTTTGTTTTGAGTTTCCTTGGCCATGAATGTACATACAGTATACAGTACTTGCATCACTATGTGTGAGTCTGAAATGAGGCCTGTGTGTGGAGAGTTTCTATAGCAGTACTGCTGCTGTTTCTATAGAGCTGCTTTGTTGTGCTGTTGGACCCATGTTTATCAGCTAGGTTAGCTTTCCTCATAGGGATCACCAGCGAGTCAGCGACAGTATAGGGAAATGAAAACGGTCAAGTTTTGCCAAAATAGCATGTAATCCAGAGTGCCTGGTACACAAGACTAAAATATATTTTGTACTTATCACTGTGTATGTGTGTGTGTGTGTGTGTGTGTGTGTGTGTGTGTGTGTGTGTGTGTGTGTGTGTGTGTGTGTGTGTGTGTGTGTGTGTGTGTGTGTGTGTGTGTGTGTGTGTGTGTGCATGCGTGCAAGACAGCTGTTGCTTGCAGTGTTGTTACACTTTGAGTGTTAATCAATAATGCAGAGCATAGCTTTGCCTTACACACACACCAAGCATAGACAAAGTTTAGACTTTCCCAATCCCTGAGGGAGTACCTCATTCACATATCAGTGCCCTAGTTTCGACGAGACTTAATGCATATTCAGCAAAGGACTCACATTTTTTAATACAACAATAACTGCACAATCTTGAAAACATACACTTCTGAAGGCTTTAGAGGTGTGTATGAATATTTGCCTGATGTTCACCAGGGATAACCTAAACATTACTACAATTTGAAATAACCATTTTTTGTTTAATACATTTTAAATGCATTACATTTTACATTTAAAAATGTCTTTGTTCCTTTGATGAAATGCTGAGTAATGAACAGTAAGGAATAACAGGGGATGGGGCATTGAATTATAATGTACTGCCAGAAGTGTTGTGCATTATATTCTGCTTATTCAAAGCACCAGAGTAAATTATTCTGCCTTAAACAAAGCTATCAAATATTATTCAGATGTTGTATTTCAAGACATTCTGTCAGGTTTTAAATCTTCAAACTGCTCCAGTTTGAAGAACTAATGTCTTATGCATCTAATTTTTGCATTTTCATATGCAATATCAATGATAATTTGGAACCGTCTTCCTTAAACTACTTTAAGGATGGTTAAAAAAAAGACCATTGTAACCACTAGCGCCATCAGTAGTAACAAGTTAGCGCAGAAATTCCATTGAAAATACTAGGGTAAAAGAAACTGTCATATTTTAAAGACATGGTGGGGGGCGAAATGGAATTTAAGGCAGTGCTTCTTGTCCGATCTGAGACCCACTTCATATCGTATATCTAACAGGCAATGAAGATCGCTGATTTTTAAAGAAATCAGATCTTAAACATGGCAATTTTGTAATGAGAAAAACAGTTCACCGAAAGCCCTTGGGCTGGCTATCTGAAAATTAAAAGTCTGTGTGCATAGCCCATGGCAGATATTGCTGCTCTGTTAAAATAACATAATCTTGCCTACTAAAATAGAATTTAACCATCGTGAAAGCTGGTATCTATACTCTCCACATAATTAAATCTCAAGTCTTTTGGTCCAAAAGTAGGCTTTTTGCTTTTCTGTGGCCTGAAAAAGTTCTGAAGCATGAACTTTGTTCAGATTGTTCAGAACTGCAAAGTATGTTGTACGTCACAAGCATAATGCAAAGTAAGTCCTGCGGTGTAAAGTCATTCTGCCCTCATCATTAATCCTATTTTGTTTTATGCTTGCTCAGCCTACGTGTGCTTCTGTCCTATCATGCATGAACTGAATCCCCTCAAAGCATGGATGACACCTGCGATGCTCATAAAAAATTAATCCATGTTGTGAATCCCATGTGCTTTGGACATGACTGCATAATATTAAATCTTACATCAGAGAGCAACACTTTACTTAAACACTTTTGGTTAAATAAAGGAGTGATAAAAAGAGACCTACATATCCATTTCAAAGCTGCAACTATTAGAGTTGAAGTCCGAATTATTAGCCCCCTGAATTATTCGCCCCCCTGTTTAATTTTTTCCCCAATTTCTGTTTAACAGAAAGTTTTTATCAACACATTTCCAAACATAGTTTAATAAATCATTTCTAAATTCTAAACATCATTTGAGAAAATATTTTTTAAAAATTCAAATGGCGGTTGAATAATTCTGATTGCAATTGTATGTATGTATGTATGTATGTATGTATGTATGTATGTATGCATGTATGTATGTATGTATGTACAGTTGAAGTCAGAATTATTAGCCCCCCTTTCATTTTTTTCCCTTTTTTTTTATATTTTCTAAACGATGTTAAATAGAGCAAGGAAATCTTCACAGTATGTCTGATAAGATTTTTTCTTCTGGAGAAAGCTTTATTTGTTTTGTTTCAGCTAGAATAAAAGCAGTTTTTAGTTTTTTAAAAACCTTTTTAGAGACGAAATTATTAGCCCCTTTAAGCAATTTTTTTTTTCGAAATTCTACAGAGCATACTATCATTATGCAATAATTTGCCTAATTACCCTGACCTGCCTAGTTAACCTAATTAACCTAGTTTAGCCTTTAAATGTCACTTTAAGCTGTATAAAAGTGTCTTGAAAAATATCTAGTAAAATATTATTTACTGTCATCATGACAAAGATAAAATAAATCAGTTATTAGAAATAAGTTATTAAAACTATTATGTTCAGAAATGTGTTGAAAAAATCTTCTCTCCATTAAACAGAAATTAGGGGAAAAATTAAACAGGGTGACAAATAATTCAGGGGGGCTAATAATTCTGACTTCAACTGTATGTATGTATGTATGTATGTATTTTTGAATGTGTGTATGTCATCAAACATTTCTTCTAATAATGCCTGACAATATGTTATATATACAGTAGTATTTCTCATACAAGACTATAAAAGTTCCATAAAACAACTTATGAAGTGCATACTTTAAAACTATAAAAAGCTACGAATCAGCACAGACTCTTTTGGTTTCTGAATGTAAGCCATATATGTTTAATAAGTTGCTAAAAATAGCTTTTTTG